TCATGTTCTCTGAAGAACCAATGAGCAAGTAGAAAAGAATGAGTCCATCTATGTAGTGTATTTGACTTTTAAAGAAAAATCCCAAAACCTCTTTAAAAGTTATTAAAGGAACTATGTCTCTTAGTGAGTGAACGGTCAGTATTCTAAAGAAAATAGAGAAGTTACAGTGTGCAGTAATATACATAATATATTTGGAGTAGGAAGCCAAAATGGACTTCAATATGTTGGAGAAAAACACTGTAATACCAAACACTTGAGGTTGTAAAACTTTTGAAGAAGCCCCCTCAGTAACCTAAGAGACTGAGTAGAAGGAATAAACAGACTCCTAGGAAGCAGAATGACAGATAAATGCAAATAAACAAAGTGATGCACGTGCCGAAAACCAGTCCTAGCTTCACATGTGAATAATGGACCTGAGCAGACCAGCATTCCTGAAGAATTAAAAGTCTGCATTACCATAAAATACGATTATGGTCCATGAAAAAACCAGCATTTTTGCTTTTAAATAGATAGATATTTTTAAGGCAACTCCAATACACTATAATAATATCTACTAAAGCAATCATCGTACAGTTGTATGTTATGCATTGATGGGTATTTTCCAATACAAGCAGAATTTTAACTTCTCTCACAGCACCCCACAAAATAATAGCAAATAGTGTAAAATTAATCTTAACTCTTTTTTCTTTCTAGGATTAAGAGTGGAAGTATTGGAATAGTATGACAGGAATTTGCAGGAAGAAGATCAAAGAAAAGACTTAGACCAAACTAGGAGCTAAGATGACATGAAAGGCTTCAAACATTCCCTTTTAATTGAAATATTCTGCAATTAAAGCCAATTTTGATAATGGTGAGCATTATGGGTTTCACTCACATTTTACTCATTCCTTATTTTTCACTTAGGCAGAGATAGGACTACCTTTACTCGTTAGTACTATCAGAAATTTCAGGCAAAACCCAAAACTTTTGATTGCAATAAACACATCCAAAACTTGGCAAATGTTGCCCTTGATAGCTTACCTCTAAGGATAACCCTTAGAAATGCAGCAAAACTCTTTAGAGTTTTGTAATCCTCAATCCACTTAAGACTGATTTAGTTATCAGAGGGAAGAAATCAAGATGTATCTTACAGTCCCTGAAGCTTTGTCCTTCCTGACCTCCAGCAAAAAGTACCCAGACTTCCCCACGGTGACACGGGATGAAGGTCACTGGTCTCAAGCCCTGGGCTGACATTTTTTTCTGCATCCAAAACTCACATTAGTTATCAATGTATTCCTCCCCCATTAGCCATCATATTCATACCAGAGTTTTGCCCCATTTGATGATGTGGAAAGACAGGATATTGTCTATAAGCAATCCATAATTCTCTTTAGCTGGAATAACCTGGCCAGCTCACACATTAAGTTGGTTGTCTGAGCTAGACTGACCAACTCACCAAGTTTGCCCAGCCATGCAACAGCAATGGGAATACGGCAATTTCTAGCAAAGAAGAAATGACAAATAACATGGCATCTTTTAAAAAAAATTAAAAAAAGAATTATTTTTTAACATGCCTTGCCAGATGCAGAAAAAGACCCATGCTCATGACTATGTAAAACCATGATGGTAGTTAGCTATTCTACTCCCACTCACAGAGAAAAAAAGGCCCTGTGCATACCTTAGTTCCATTTCAACCCGCTTGGTTTTAAATGAAGCAATTTATCTGCAACTGATGATCCCCAAAAGCCCCTCAGTCTGGGGACCAGAAAACCCTCCCTTTCATACTGTGCTTCTCTACTGCCTGATCAGACCTAGCACTGACATGTGTATTCTGTGGAGATTACCCTTTTTGTTAATTGGCCATGTTCAATATAAAGAAAAGTAGCAGGATAAATAGATTAGTTGGGTTCAGTACAAGCCACGGTGGCAGATGAAAAGAGCACTGAACAGGGAAAATGAAGGAAACATGAAATAAGCAAATTACACAGACACAAGATTAGTTCAGGCTTTCTGTTGATCACAAGAATCGGATTTTATCACTCCAGAAAAGATATCCCACATAGTCACCAATTCAAAACCTATCTGCAGTGATTACACTGTATGTACCAGAGCATATGGGCACGACTGCAGTTACAGTCTGCAAGTTACCGTTTTAATGTGCTTAATGCTACAAGCATACAGTAAGCATTTTAATATGGCCAGGTATTAAGTCATACATCTGGGAAGGAACAAGATAGGCTATGGTTATAGAAACCGAGCAGTGACTTGAAAAGCAGCAGTTCTAAAAATGACACAAGAGTCTTGGCTGAGAATTCATCTAAAAATGAGTTCCTAATGGAGAAAAGGGGAGATGTATTATAGTGCATATAGTACTTCTGTTTGTTTGGTGCTCATATAGCCCGTGTGCCCTTTGCTAACACAATTCACATTTCAAGAGGAATGTGAACAACCTTGAAAAGGTTCAGAGAAAGCAGACGTGTGAGAACACTTCAGGATTAGAAATCATAAAGCTTTCAGTGGTTCAGCATTTACAGGCTTTTCAGGAGATTAATATGGGTTAAACTTTGACCTCAACTTATATATTCCTACAGGGAAACTGAACAGAAACACCATCAGTCCCATAGACAAAGCCTACAACTGCTACTAAGACTGGGAACTACAATTTGGAAATGCAGAGTTTTAAGGAGGAAGGCAATTACTCAAGGGTTTTACCATAGGAAGTAGTGAGGTTTCCACTGCTGTACTATTTAAAAATCAAGATTGCATGTTCTTTTCCAAAAAGCCATGTTTTTGTCTTAATCAGCCCATGAATATCCTGTGTGTCATACAGAATCTTAGACTAGGCAATCACAAATCTCCCCTCTGGGCACATAAGCTATTAATACGTATATCTGAATTCACGCAGACAGAATAAATAGACCAAGATAGGTATGTCAGTGAAAAAAAACCAACCCTGGTAACTGAGCAAATATCTTGTTCTTAAATCCAACTACTATTCAACAGGTTGTTCTGCTGATCTCTACTACAAATCAGGTCAGGAAGACTCGATGATTATAACATGCAGCTGTTCCTGAGAGACTGGTAATGAGATCAGGAACTGAAGGTACAAGAACCTCAGCAAGAAGAGACTTGAAAGGATCCCAGCTCTGCTCCATCACCCTGCAGACAACAGGAGACTGCAGATAGGGGCACATTAAGTTGTTCTATACCATGAGCAAAACAGTAACTGTCACAGTACTTACTATGATACAAAGAAAAATTTCCTTTTAAGATGCAGATTACATGGCTGAGTGCAACAAGCTCAGATATAAACCTGAGAGATCACAATCAGTGAAGCACAACTAATATACATATTTTTCTCAGTACAGAAGCCAAGAAGCATTCTTGGCTCTGCTCTGGCGAGACTTCACCTGGAGTACTGTGTCCAGCTTTGGAGTCCCCAACACAAAAAGGACAATGAAGTGCTGCAGCAACAGGAGGGCAACAAAGATGATCAGAGGGCTGGAGCACCTCTCCTACGAAGACAGGCTGAGGGAGTTGGGGTTGTTCAGCCTGGAGAAGAGAAAGCTCTGGGGAGACCTTATAGCGACCTTCCAAGACCTGAAAGGTGCCTATAAGAAATCTGGGGAAGAGCTGTTCACGAGGGCATGTAGCGATAGGATGAGGGGTAATGGTTTTAAACTCGAAAAGGGTAGATTTAGGTTGGATATTAGGAAAAAGTTCTTCACTATGAGGGTGGTAGATCAGTGGCACAGGTTGCCCAGAGAGGTGGTGGAGGCTCCATCCCTGGAGATATTCAAGGTCAGGCTTGATGGGGCTCTGAGCAACCTGATCTGGTAACATTGTCCCTGCTCACTGCAAGAGGGTTGGACTGGATCAGCTTTAAAGGTCCCTTCCAACCCAATACATTCTATGATTCTATGAAGCATTCAGCTCTATCTTTGGGCTACCACAAACACTGGCGACATTCTCCCATTTCTCTTGAGTTTTTGTTTTGTTTTGTCTCACAAATGGACCATTTACTTCTAGCTATCATTTTTTCAAGACTTTATTCTGTATAATCAGTTATCAGCCTAAATGCTGCTTCTGTGGTTCAGAAAACTGTGCAAAACTGATATTCTCATGCCAATAAAAAGGAAAGAAAAACGTGAGACACAGATATATTGTTTGATTCTATGTATGGCCCAGCATGTGCAGATCAGTCACTTTTCAATCGACAAGAGGCTTAAAATAGAACTTCTTTTTAGGCAGCATGGGAGGCACACAGACTATATGGGCACACAAAGCTAGAGGTAACTTGGAAGAAATCCAGTTACTAGTAAGTAATCGCTTTTCTTTGAAAACTGCATGAGAGAGACACTCCCAGGTGTGGCAGCCTGGAAGGAGCTCCAGGAAAGGACAGTGGACAAAAGCAGAGACCACTGGGAGCTTAACAACACAATATGCTTCAGCTTGGTGAAAATAGGACCAAACCTCGATATTGTTATTCTGCAGCTCTCGTCTGCAGATGGAGGACAATGCAGCAATTGCAAAATTTTAGAAACAAAACTCTGAAGCTATTACAGGGAGCGAAAATGAGATTGAACACTCCCAAGGTCTTTAGTGAAACACAATTTCCAGTTAAAAATGCACAACATTTTTTATTGTAGCATAAGAAAATAAATAACTGAAAGGCACATCTGCTTATGACTGCTTAAAATTCACAAAGCCTCTGACACCTTCAATTTCCCATTACTTTTAACGGCTTCTGCATTTTCCAAAATTATTGTTATATCAAGACTATAAAAACTTTCTATTCTATCAGAAAGGTGTGCATAAATAGCAAAAGATCCACATCAATTTAGACAGAAGCTTCCTCCTCAGAAAGACTTCACAATTTCAATTTAATTATTTAAATTTGTTTACTTTCAGAAAAAGAACTTAATAGATTTAGAGAGAAGGGTTACTTGTAAATTTAGAGTTATGCTTTATTATATTGATCAAAATAAATTTGCTGAAGTATACAAGTATAGAAAACTCACCTTCCAGAAATTATCTACTTTGCCATATACGAGAGATTGATTCTGCCTTTTGATGTCATTAATGTGTTTAATGTCGCTGGAATTCAGATGCTGCTCTACCACAAATCCAAGGAAGCTGTTATCTGGAGTGTGAGCTGCAAGAAATGGAGCATATTTAAAATCTTTTAAATTACCAGTTAGTGTTACAAAAGCATGAATGTTGTCAGAAAAGTAGGTATAAGGAACATATTATTCAACAGATCACTTCCTTCATATTCATACTGAGAGATACATTTGCTTGCTTTATTATCAAAAATAGTCCTTATTAAGTCTTGCTGCATGCGTCTACTGAAGTAAGCAGCTATTTTCTGGCTCTTTTCTAGCAATAAAAATTCTGTAGCTGGACCAAGGCCAGTGATAATGCTTTTCTTGTGTGCTGCGCTTTATTGTATTCTTAGAGATAAGAGAACCAGTAGAAATCCAGCTTGACAATCTCAAAGATGCAGTATCAACAATCTGAAAAAAGCCTGGATTCATGCTTGTTAACAGAGCTGTATATTGCTCAATGTCATAAATACATTTTAGTAAATCTCTCAGGTTCACCTCCTATATTAGAAGAGCCAGCACCAAGCATCCAACTCGCTGCATATTATCCATGCTAATTACTAGCCTACAACATCACGCCATGCCAGTCAGAATACAAATTTCACTGCCTAATTCACTCAGATACATCTATCATAAAATATTGATAGTTAGCAAAATTGTTGTGTGAACCCAGTGCCCAGACAAGTGCATGCAAAAGGTATGCAATTATTCTTAAGCCTCCACTAGTGTTTTTCCAGCAGTGACATCCAGCAGCAGTAGCCACTGTTCTCCTCCTATAAAGACACAGCCCTGCAGCCTCATTAAAATGAAGGGTCTGGTTTTTTCTCTTTGTAGATACCGTGTTTAATTCCAGGGATGGACTCCTGTATTGAAGGCTTCAGGTAAAAATCTATCCCCACTGCCTAAAAATTACTCCAATATGTGGGATTTTTGCACCTTCTAAAATATGTCATAGCCTCACAAGTTTACACAGAATTAGGCTGCAATAAACACTAGGAACTCCTTTATAAGCCTCCCTTTTAAATTCTGGCACATAAGCTGACAACTTCTTACTAAACACACTTTGCAAAGTTAAAAAAACTCCAAATAATAAAAAGAAAATAACAACCCCAGACACTTACAATAGATGAAATGCTAAACCTATGGTCAGAGTTCTTAAAAAGTAAATAAGTAAAGAAAGAAAGAAATCTAATGCAATTATGAGGTTCTGCTTTTTGATTTCTGAAAATCAGCCAACTGGATAACGCAGTAGAACAGAGAAACCATACACAGTGTACACTTCCCTCTGCCATTACACTCAGCATTTCAAATGACAATCACTCTTATTCACAAAAAAATGCCTCAGCAACAGCTAGGCCCTCACTTAGACCCAAGGATTTTGTAGAAGTTAGCACAGCAAATGGCACATTGCAAATATGCCTGAAAAGGGACATTTTTCCATCCTCTCATATTTTAGGATGAGAGATTGCATTCAAAGGAGAGGCGAGGCAGTAGATGCTCAGAAGAAAAATAAACCTTTGTTAAAGTTAGCGCTTAGAACTGGTGGAATTCAGTGCCTCAAACAGCACTGGCAGGAAGCACTCAGATGGGTTTTTAAGCCAGATCATGCAGTTTTAAAAGTACCAGTACTGTTATTTTGTGTAAAAGAAATTAAATAAAAAACATTAAAAAGGGTAAAAAACTCCCTTGTGCTTCTGGAAAGCTCAGAGAACAGTCATGCATTTGGTAACATGCCACAGGTTTGAATATGGCTTGCTTGTTGCTCAGTAATAATTTTCTGCCCTTATAATCAGAGTTCTCAAAACATAATAGAGTCTGGGGATCTTGGGAAGCTGTCCAGGGTTCCAGTCTGTCCTAAAATCTTCACTGACGCAGAGCATGCAGTTTTAATCACCACCCCATAAAGACGGTGCTATCTCTGCAGCAGAGAACGAAAACAAAAATAAACTTTAAAAACTGCAGTACACCGACTCCTCTGCACCTAGTACAAAAAGCAGCAAAATCCTTGAATAATCCATAGCACTGGAATCACTCATGCCTCAGAACAACTTTGCTTGCAATCTCTCTCCCGCTTTTCCTGCAAAGGAAAATCAGCAGTCACTTCCATAGTAAAAATTGGAAATGGTTATTTGTTGAAATTCCAATATACTCATACTGCTCTAGAAATTCATTATGAAGTGCTTTGCTCTGAACAAGAGACTGCCACAGTAGTCTACACTGCCTCAACAGAGATCTTCTCTGTAATGATTTACTTTCTTCTGCATTTCATGGAGTGGGATTGAGGAGTGCATGCACACTGCTGTGCCACAAGTGTTCACAAAATACTTTCCTCAAGAGCATCATCACCCTTGGTGCTATCTTGAACAGGACCTCACGCAGAAATTTCCCAGCAGCTGGACTACTGAAATATAGCACAACTGAGCTTTTGGCTCCTTTTTCATTTAGGACATAAACCAATAAATATTAGCAAACCATGCGGGTGTGGAACAAGCTCTGCTTGCTAATGTCCAGGCTCAAACTCTGCAGCCACTTCCAAGTCACATTTCCCCACCAGGCGTTTTGTTACTTGCTTTGAAATAACTGTGAATGCAGTCTTTTATCTTTCGAACAACCTTCATTTATATTTCTCTGGAAAAACTTACACAGCAAATGTTGACAGACAAAATATGCCTCTCAAGAATTTTACAGTGCAACTGAAATCAAAAGCATGTCAGCCAGACAGCAGCATGTATAATTCTGCTATGAAAAGCAGAAAAGTTTGAAAGGCTTGACTATGAAGTCTGATGAGAGAGAACAGTGTATGCCCTGGCCTTGGTCACAGACAGGGACCACCATGAAACTTTAGAGCTCAGGCTGGTCACTACCAAGTGTTTCTTTACAGATCTGGGCTGAGATGCTGCTGCACACAACAGCATAGAATCATAGAATCACAGAATGGTTTGGGTCGGAAGGGACCTTAAAGTTCATCCAGTCCAACCGACCCCGCCTGCCATGGGCAGTGACACCTCCCACCAGCCCAGGCTGCTCAAAGCCCCGTCCAACCTGGCCTTGAACGCTTTCAGGGAGGCGGCATCCACAGCTTTCCTGGGCAACCTGTGCCAGTGTCTCACCACCCTCACAGTAAAGAATTTCTTCCTAATATCCAGTCTAAACCTTCACTCTTCCAGTTTAAAACCATTCCCCCTCATTCTATCACTACCTGCCCTTGTCAAAAGTCCCTCCCCAGCTTTCCTGTAGGCCCCCTTCAGGAACTGGAAGACTACAACAAGGTCACTCCAGAGCCTTCTCTTCACCAAGCAAAAAACCAGATTTTAAAGATAATTTAACAATGCTTCAGCCATCAACAACAATGCTAAAATCTACAACTTTTTTTTCCAATAATTTTGTACACAGCTGGCAAAAAAAAATGTGAATCAGTTCACCTCAGGCTGAATGGTCACAACATGAAAACAAGCTTGGTGAAAATTTTGAGAAATCCACCAAAAATAGAGACAAAAAAACCTATTTTTGCTGAGTGCTAGTTTATCAATATTGAATGCAAAGAAATAACAAAGGCATTGCGTTGCTCAGTTGCTGTGGGGAAAAAAGCAGAAATACAACAACATAGCCATGCACTTCAATGTAACATGATGAAATGCAAGAGTGCAGTTTATAAAACTGCAATATAGTGAGTTCCTTAAAAACCTATTGCTCCATAGCAGGATTTGAGAAGGCAAAACTAACAAAAATCTCACTGACATTGAAGGAAAAGTCAATCTCCACTTCACACAGGTTCCCTGGTAATTAAGTTCCCTACCATTTTTTATATTAAGCTGATATTGTTATTTTCTGATTGTTGCTTGAAGGCACAATTGAGCTTTTGCATTAGACACTTATTGACACTTATTATTCTGCCCATTTAGCAGCTGCATTTTACTAAGACATGAATTTGTCTTTCATAACACAAAAATTCTTCTTAATAACTGCATTTCTTTTTAAAGCTCCAAATTATTTATAAAGAGAGGGATACTTACGGAACATTGTATAAAACTGCTGTGGATTAAGGTTCCACTTTCCCCATGGTGTCTTGTGGCCTTTAGACTGGGCATAATGGGCATGGTTAAACTCTGGTTCAGTTCCAAAGGAATCCAAAACTCTCAGCATACACCTAAAAGAAAAAAAATAATTGACTGTAGGTACACTTGCACATGTATATAGAAACATGTGTGTATATATAGAGTTGTTATAATTAAGATGTGGTTTGTTTCTGTTTGCAACTGTAGACTATTTATGAACTGAAGGGACATTTTAATTTCAAACATTTCTGTTCTCATTACATGCTCAAAGACGATCAACAAATTCAAGGATATATCAGACATTCAAATAGCAACCCTGGAGCTTTTCTGGGGTTTCTTTGTTCTTACAGAATGAAGTTATGCTTTAATGTCCAAGTAGTGCTTGTTGGAATGCTACTGTGGTCACCTTCCTGGGGCTCTCAAGTAGAATTTAGGCAGAAGAAGAGAGGATTTTTCATCTATTTCCTGATGTTCGCACCCATTACTACAAAACCAATGCAACAGCCAAGCGCCACATGCTAAGAAGATCAGAATGGAATAGTAATTTATCTTTAGGCAAAATAGTCTTCAGGTTTGGACTTTTGGGTCAATTAGATCTACTGAAAAAGCACTGAAGACAGTTTAATTTGCTGAATGTTTGCAGTCAGACAGGCCACTTATTTGTTTATGAAATATTTTCTCACAGACTTTTGGAAAATACAATATAAAAAAGTCAAGTATCTGCAACAACCTTTCTGAAAGAAACCTTGGCATTGTATTACAAAGGGTCTGGGATGAAAGATTCACACTCAGTCCTTTATTTAAAGTCTTGTTAATTCCTTGTAAAAAAATGACTTCATTTACAAGTAACCCCTTTCCAAAAAGAGCCCACAGTACACAAAAGGCAAAAAAAGCTTCAGTATGAAGAAGGTGGCACACATTGTAGCATCCAGATTCCAGAAGTTATGTTTCCAAAATGCTGCCTGCCCGACCTTTGATATGGCTTGGACAGGAACATTACAGCCGTCATACTGACCATTAGCTCCACTGCAAATAATTTGGATTACATGGCTCCAGAGCTGCTGACCCTACCGTTCTTCAGCCCTCACAAAATTTTCTGAAAAGACATATATATGATGTGTTCCTACACCATGTGCCACTGTGTAATGAGGACATGAACTCTCATCACTGCACACAAATCGTTGGTCTTGTACGTGCTAAGGAAGGGACACAACTGGATGGGTGGCAGAAAAGGGAGACAGCTGCAAAAGTTACCGTTAAAAATGGCTATATTCTTCTGTCTTCAACATTTCCCATGCCCAAATTGTGTATATATATATTCCGTTCAGTAAAACGTCAGGATTTTGTCTTTAAAATATGAAAGAACTTAGCCCGCAAAAGGTGAAGGAACTTAGCTCCAACAATTTTTCAGCTATAAAGATTAAAGTATTTAGTCCCCAAAAAATATTTACGTATTCTTATATGTTGTTCCTTTGTCTGAAGTATCCATTAAATTGAGAAATAGAAAAAAGCAACAGCAACTTTTAAACTCTTATATGAAATGGCACCTTTGTATTTGAAAGTACAAAAAGAGCAAATTTACTTTTTCTTTACTCTTCACAAAGGTCTTTCAAGCAAAAAGAAAGTAAAAATATACAACACATTATGATTCACCAAACAACAAAGCTGACAGATTAGTTTCTGTGCAGTGTTTTATGTCAAATGTTCTCAATGAAAATATTTTACAACAGTGGCAATTATCTCTGCATCATACAAAATACTCCAGCAGGACCAAAACAACTTCTGCACTGATGAATCATCCAGTATTAAAAGCCCTGTTATTTCTTGGCAAGCCTTGAAACAAAATTCTTATCAAATATACAGCTTTTGGCCAGGTACTTGAGTGCATGGGAATGAAAAATGGGTGAAAGCTACTGAAAAACTGCAAAGTTACTGAAGTTTGTCAAATTCTATACGTCAGGAGCACTAGAGCGCACGTGATCATCTCAAAGTGCGCCGTTTCCTCAATTTTCCCTGTATTCAGATGTAAGGTCTGTAGCGCTGATTGTTCACAGGGATTTACACACAGGGCTCTGAAGCAGGACAGGAAACGTGATGCAACAGAAACCAAGCTAAAGCAGGAAGCAGGGAAAACCCAAAACAGTCAGAAAAGGGAAAAAAGATCACAGCAGAAAGTGCAAGTGTGTGCAGAAATGGTTTGAGAAATCAAACATTCAAGTGGTGAGCTTAATCCCCAAAATGCAGCAGAAAAGAACTGGTGAAGCAAAGATTTAAAATTTATAAGCGAATGTAATTAATGACAGTTATGCTGAACTGATATTTTAATATACATAGGAATGCCTCAGTTGTCTGCCCAAGTACCACATTCTCCATTTGTTTCATTTAGTGGTTTAAATCTCTTTTAATTGAACTATTTTAAAGCAACATTTTTATTTTATATATTATGTTTTTAGATTTCTAAGCTGAAATAATTAATTTTCAAAATGGCAAACCAGTATTTGTTCAAAGCAGGGATATATTTTAAATAAAAACGTTAATTTAGTATATTTTCAACTTTAGTTTTTCACTCAGTTGCCCCCTCTTTCCTAAAATGCCACCTAGCTTTAGCAGGAAGTTGCAGAGAACGTCTTAGAATTGGTGTCAGACCGATATATCCAATTAAAATCTTCTAACATATAAGAAGTGACAATTTTTGAACTTTTAAAAAAAAGAAAAATTAGGCAAAATTAACCTATGATTAGCACTATTTTTAAGTGGCTGTTTTTCCATAAATATTGGGCATAAGCACAATCTTAACTGGGCTGTTCTAGTGGAAATATTGATACACATTTATTCGTATCCTTCTCCTACCTGAGATATACCTCATCTTTGTCTATATGAGCAATGCTGTCCAGCACAGGTACAGATACATGCACTCCAGATTTTTCTGGCTTATACCCAGCCAGCTCAGATCACGAGCAGCTCATGTCTGCCTAGAGAAATCCTTGCAGAGACACACATTAACTTTCAGGCTGCTCAGTAGTTGCATTTAAAATGTAAAGCCTTAGTCAGAAAATAACCCTCTTAAAACAGATGTATTCTAGAAAACATGTAAGAATCAGGAATGATGCTCATTTTTCAGAATAGCTGTCATGTTAATTTATTTCAAAAATAAAGCCAGTTGGATTTTTGGCATATGGGAATGAGTCAATGCTAGAGAGACTGTAGAAAAATGAAAAAATATCAGGTTCTTATGTGCTGTATGGAGAATGCAGTTACTAAGAAAGGTAATGAGCCACACTCCTCAAACTATATTAAGCTACTAATTTTTATGTTGCTTCATTAAACATAAACTGCGTTCAAATATCCAGACTTCAAAACTGAAAAATACTGCACCTCCAGGCATTCTTCTGCTTGAAAATAAGGTGCACTCAAAAATGAGATCTGTTTTGCTATATTCATGCTAGGTTACTGCACTAATTATACCACAGATAAAGCATGTACTATCGAGAGTCATTGGTGCTACAGATCTCAGACACAGGGATCAGTATTTCAGCTGTTCAGAAATACCTCTCAAAGCAGCAGGGTCATTCTTTTGAGCTAGCAGTTCTAGAAACCTGGTTTGCCTTTACCAAAAGTTTCCTCGTGGCTCAAGTTCACTCACAAAGATTACAAATGGCACTCTTATCAACAGGCAGTTCTGAAGGCACAGGTGTATTCTACCACTCTACTCCAATCTGAAGCAAATGAACGAATTCTAATTTATTTGTATTTGAGTCTGCTCTGCATAAACCAGACTGAGCTGAAAAACTGTATGGCATAAATCAAAACACTTCTGTCAAGTCAAAGAATTATTCTTATCGATATTAAATGCAACTGAATGAGAAAGTAAAGTTTGTAAAGAACAAGGACTAGAAGACAGCTTTTTAATGATAACGCTTATTTTCTAGAGTGAAATAAACAGACATATTATTACGCTCTTACACTAGACTTATTAGTTTTAACTTAAAAGTACTTTGATGACAAAATTTATGAGGTAACTTATGATGCTGAGAGGAAAAAAGAGTGACTGGAAGAGGATCTTCAAATAGGAGATAGCTTGCTTGACGCAATGGATTAATTCTCCTGCTCTAATCAATTCTGGTTCTCTCTGCTAGACTCTAAACCTGAGAAACAGTATCAAGTACTTAGAGACATTCCCAGCAAATGCATGAAGTTTGATGAAAGGTCTATAAAACCTGAATTATAAGGAATGATCCAAACCTACTTTTCAGCAAAGGTATGGACTAGATGAGGACCCCATCCACCCCATGAAATCAAATATTGTAGGAGAGAGGCATTAAGTAATTGTTTTCTTTTTCAAAAGCTTAACAAAAACTCCTATACTACCCTAAGTTATTTATTTAGAGTTAAATTTAATTCAACTCTCCTAAACGAGAATAAGTCACTCATTACCACAAATCGGGAATCAATGAAAAACAGACTGAAAACTTACGATTTAATGATTAATGAAATAAGCAAGAAAAATTGAAGAGAGAATCTAATAATCTCAATGTCATGGTGTATTTCCATATCTCCCTTACAGAATATACCAAATAGGAAATAGAAAATAATAGGGAAGTAGTATTTTAAATTTATAAGTATGGTTTTATATCCTACCCACATTGCTGCATGTGATTGCCTAGTGACAGTTACATCTGGCAGACAGACAACCAACTGTAGCTCAGTGGAAAATGGGATTATCTTTATTAGCAGGCTCCTAAAAACCAGAGTATCCATTTACTCCTCTGCTTCAAAAAAGAGATTAAGACTAATCTAATCTGCAATGTTGATCACAGTACTCTCATTTAAAATTATGCTGAAAAGATCCAATGTTCTAGAAAATCCTGAGGTAGAGAGAAAACAATTCTTCTGCCTGCAGTGAACACCTTTCAATACCTTCCTTCAAGGGGGATTTACTGAACTTCACGGATGATGAAACACAGCTAATTCGATTAGGTACAGAAAAATCAGAGTCAGTAATTTGGATTTGGTTTTATTTCATGCTGATATGTAGTTGTACAACACTTGGGAGGCTTGCTGATTTAAAGATAAGAAGAAATGCGGTTCTAAAACTGCAGACATAAGGAGGCTGCACAAAGTAATTTCTTGTGACTGCCATCTTCCATTTCTAATGAAAAGATATAGATTACAGAAGCAACAATAACCACAGTTACCAGCAGGTTTATTCTTTAGGCCTATCCCTGAAGACAACTCTCTGCCCAGCATCTTAAGGGATAGAACAGAAAACTAAATTATTGCAGTTGGGCAATACAACTAAAATAGATAAATCATCAATCCAGCATGGCTACAAACACTGAGAAGCAAAACACGCCTTTGGTTTTCCAACTAACCAACAAAATCCAATAATCTCTCAGATCATCTACTAATTTACAGGACAAAAATGGAGAGGATGTAAAGAGGTGAGGGAAAGAAAAGTAAAGATGATGGCTCAACAAGATAATACAATTCATTAAGATTAAAAATGTTTGAATCCAAAAATCCCAAACTTGCTGGGGCAATGGGAGGGATAAAGATGGTGTGCAACCAACAGGTGATAGTCCCTTTAAGCTTAAAAGTCAACGACAAGAGAGAACCACACTTTTAAATAAATTCAAATTCACATGGATGTACTCACCTCTGTATTTTGACATGTGCTATTCAACAAAAGCTCTTTAACAAAGCACTTAAGATGTCAAATAAGTGTTATACTTACTGGTAATGTACCCACGATGGACCAAGGGTTTTCTTAAACTGAGTGAGTCCCACAATATCGATGTAAATGAGTTCCACAACTTTATCCCCCTGGGTAGGGCAGCCAGATCTGTTACCTACAACCTTCTTCATAATCCTAAACAAACAAAGAAGGAATATGGAAAAGTATTACTTTCCAAATACCTTAAACAGATGCTGTAATACTATTTATATCAATAATTATCCTTTCCAAAAAAACTTTACTCTTATCTTTTCCAAATCAGGAACCATGTAAGAACATTTAAATGCTAAAGATGCTCAGCATTAATTAAAGAACTGTTTATACATCAGTAAAGCGTCGATTTCCACTAAAAACCTCATCTAGTTTAAACAGGAGAGCAGTATGGCTGGAATGCCTAAAAATAGTGTGCTTTGAAATGATTTAAAATAATTTTGACTTTTATTGATAGTTTAATAGTATAAGAGCTCTCTGTAAAATGATGGTGCCATGTTTGTTATTAAAAAAATGAAAGCTATAACAAAGTGTTTGTTTTCAAGCTTAAAACAGATGTTTTATGCCTAATGCTGAACTAGTACACAAAGCAAGACAAAAATGAGTGAGGTAGCAACGTGATCTGACATAAATTATTAACTACATCAAAAGTAATGTGTTTAAAAAATTTAAGTCTTTATTTTAAAAACAGATACTGAGTGAAGAACAACAGAAACTGAAGAGGACACAGAACTAGGCTTGTCTGTAAAATTGCCTATTGCAGCTGATTAAAGCACCTGGAATGTTAAAGAGTAAGCTGTGTAGTTGGAATTTTACAACATTCCTTTATGAAGTCTCAGGAGCCTTAAGCTACAATGAAAACACATTATCCTTTTCACAGCACATACACTGTGCTCTTGAAAATAAACTAATTGTCAGCTAAGTAAATTATCACTTCCATTTTAGGCTTCAAGAAATTATACACAGAGTTAATAGAAGCGTCAAGAGTTTACAATTATTTTTTCCTTTTTTTTGCATTCCAGTTTCAAAAGTGAAAGTAATCTCCTTACTCCTTGAGCTCTGCCAGTGAAGCTGAAATCCTGATGTCATGGCCCAGTAAGTAGAGAGATGTAATTAAATCACTCCACTGGACTAATTCACCAAGTGGACCACCGCTAAATGCATTTTCTGCAATCTTGAATCCAGATTCTTTCGTCAAAAGTCCCAGATGAACCAGAATCTGGAAAGGAAAGACACATGTTAAGAGTTAACGACATTAAACACGCAACCAGTATAACTCACAGCAATTTCTACTGAATTCCAACTATGGCCAAAAAACCCCCAAAAAAACACCAAAACCAAAAACCAACACCAAAAAAATCCAGTATCTAGTTGTGGTAATTAAGGAGGTCTAAACTGACCCAGTCCAAAGTTGTGGTCAAATTTAAGTCTACTCAAGTCCAAACCAGGAATATGCCATTTAAAGTGTCAATTTTGGACAAAGATGTACAATTGTTTTCTACAACTACATAAAACACCAGTGCCATCAGCTTGCAGTAATTTCACAGTATCTCCCTTTACAAACTACTACATAGTCTCTATTTTATCCATAATTAAAGAGGTTAGAAAACTTACTCAGGACTGACTCATGGAAAGTACATAAAACTATTTTTAAAGCGAATACCCATTGTAACAGTAATACTTCTTGAAAAAAGGCACAAGTATAAACACAAGCCTTTTAGACATATTTGGTATTTCCACTATGAAGTTACTTCTGGAACGAGAAGCTTAAAAGAGCCAATGTGACTGCAACTGGCAGGAATGAAAGATGTTTTCATTTACCTTTTTTCGTTTCCTCTTCTCCAAATTTTGTTTTTCTGCAAGAGATTTAATTGCTTCAATCCAGGTATTGGCCATTCGTCTGATGCGTAACATCATCCACCTGAATTCCTCGTGTCTTGACATCATTTTGTAGAGATTATCGAAGTTTATACGTATTTCAGCCTTCAATTGAAGCATTAAAAAAACCCCAAAGATTAGTTATTCTTCAAATAACGTACTTTCCAGAAGTGAAAACACTTCTCAGGTATGGACTGTGCTTTACATTCCTCATTTAAACAAAAAAAACCCCAAACCAAAGAATTCCTGATGCTGAAGTTGAGATATAGTTCAAATCTTTAAGATATCTTTAAACAGACATTTCTAAGTCACATAGATTAGTATTATTTTTATTAGTAGTATTTGGTAGTTCCACAATATGTTTGTAATGTTTCATGATGCATTTATTTTTTGCAATATAAGATTTCATTTTGTTTACGTGCTTTAAAATGAGGTTAAAGTATCTCTGAAACACCATATCAAATCAGAACAATATGCTGAAGATTCACGTATAGCATGAATTTTCCAAATACAAGTAAGTCTCCTATCATACCATAAATGAAGAAGCATTACTAGAGTATAAATTTTAAAGGAAATATTAATTTTAAAGCCAGACTGATCTGACAGCAATTGGTTTTACAAAACAAGACAGCCTATATCTAAACTATGTAAGCAATGTTCATATACAGCCAGCAATTATCTTAGAATACTTAAGTGCTACATAATTATGCTATAACAGTTCAGAATCAACACTGCATGATGTAGAGGTTTTAAAGGAAAAAAAAAAATAAGGGTAATCAAAATGTTTATCCAAAACCAAAATGTATAGAAGCCAATGAGGCATTTCTAGAAATAAGCCCCTGATTCATGGGACATTAAAAATGGACAGTTTCACATACGGCCACTTAACACTGGTGAAGAGTCTATGGATTTGTAAGTTTTCTCTGTATCTGTGTACAATATTTCATAAATTTATATGAAAAAAATATTTTAAATGGAAATCTACTACAAACACTGCACCACAATACAATGACTGGAGAAAATACATTGTGAAATACATATATACAGGATATTTCACTTCATTTTTGAGAAGCTAGGGAATAAAAATATTATATATTCTAGTCTTATTAGCATTTCTGTGGCACAGGATTCCAGGATGTTTTGCATGAATCACAATTTATGAACTATTTCTCATGTTTTAATGATGTTCTTACCACTGTTTTTTGATCAGTTTCCTCATTGGGATTTTTTGCTCTCCAAGGTAAACGAGGACACCAATTTTCAACCTGTAAAACAATCACATGAAAATAAATCATTCCATACATCTTTCAGCTGCTCTACCCAAGTTTCTCACTGCCTTTACATTACAGCTTTCTGTGGCTTAAATAAGGCATCAGCAGATGAGTAAGTTACTGCAAGGTAAAACTGCTTTTTGCAAGAAAAGCTTAGGAAGGCTTTTTGCAATTCAATACTATTTTAACCTTGCAAATTTGCAACCAGAAGTCACATTTAGACATTCATTCATGATAATGAATACAGGAGAGAAAACCCTTTCAAGACAGAGGTCAGCTGTTAAATGCTCCAAGTACAGTTTCTCTGACTAGCCCCTCAATGTTTTCAAAAAGCACTAAGGTTTCTATGCTTCTAGACCTTAGAAAAAAAAATGTCTTTTGGAACATTTCCCATCTCCCTAGAATATTTTTATAGTAAGGCAAAGCCTGATAAAAACCAAGGATTAATGTTCTATCTGGTAGTAATCTAGAGAAGAAGTTGAAAGAAGAATAAAACCAAAACCACCCTATTTGAAGGGTAGAAGTATAGTAACTATAACATAAGTAACAATATCCACAAGTACTAATAGCTGTAATTCTTGGAGAAACCATCATCAGTGCAAATGCAGCACTTCTGCTATTGTCTACTAGGAAAAAACAGTACACCAGCTAGTAGTTAGGGAAGAAACAGCAAATGGATGCAAGTCACTAAAAGCTCCTGTGCATTCCCTAGGGACATTGCTTGTCCTGTAGAGTTTTTATTATTCATGTGCCTTAAGAAATTAGACCGTTCACTCTGGGGAAGAAGGAATCTCACTTGTGTTGTTGGAGGCAAACACATGAAAACAGAAACATAACTGTGCTGTGAAAAGTGAGTAACGCAAAAAAATATAGGCCAGCTAAGACATCCCATCACTACCGAGGAAGTGCACAACTCCCATAGAATTAGGAGTCAGAGCTGCTCTTACGGTTCCTCCAGTCATGGACCTGTCAAAACACAATTTTAGCTTAATCATTCTGCAGCAAGCCTGAAGCATTAGAGATTATAAACTCAAAATCATACCAAATGATTGCCTAGAAGACCAATCGCATGAAAATAAATTAATAGACATCATAAACTTATTAAAGAGAAAAGAAATGTATCAAGCTTAGGTTCCTCAGACAAATTATCTAAAAGCATTAATTTGAATGCTATGACTTAATCTACTCAGTGTATTTAATACAACATTTGAAAGCAGTGACTAGATCAACCTCGTTTGAAAACATCTGATTCTCCAATGATCTCCAGAAATTGTAGCAACTAATCTTAACGTTGACTAACCTAAGTTGTGGAGTAGTTGGCAGAAAAGAGTTGCAAGCTCCATACCATGCACAGTCCTAATCTGTCTTTTCTTTGGTTTGCTTTTAAACAGTAGAAATAATTTTGAGTTATTCCTAGTATTAAAACTGATCTAAATTAAGATATGACATTTGAAGGACTACTGTACGTGCCTCTTTTCTGGCTTCATGTATTTGACATTGCACCATCAGGCATCCTAAAGGAATTAAAGATTTTTCAGAGCTGTCAAGGACAGTCAGCCGCATGCCTCACTGACTGAAAAACAAATACAGTTCTTTTGTGCTTTTAGAAACATTCTATTTAGTCTAAATTAAATTACAGTAATTCTAATCACAAATAAACACTTAAGGAGTAGACTCAAAGTAATATCAGTGTACACAGTGTAGCACTCATTCTTCCTTATTGATATTCAGTCAACTCCTCTTTTCATTGGAAAGATCAACTTAACTCACTGGAGGATTTTTAAACGCATACTCTTCAAAGTACACCAGCTGTTTTGTTATTTGCAGGACTGATAAATGCTCAGGCATTCTCTTACAGAAAAAGGAAAGAAATCTGCTCATTTTTAGGAGCCAATGGCTCACAAAGAGCTGTTTGATGGGGGGATAATAATTAACAAGAACACCAAGAAAGCAAAGATGAAGCAGACAAGTCTGACATACCATGGGAAGGGGAAAGAAGAAAACACCTTATTAATTTACTGTATTGACACAAGGGAAAGTGAAGGTGAAGAGGCAAAATATTGAGTTACAAACTACCCAAACTAGGATTACTTTAATAGTGAATTTCAGGTATTCTTTGGCAATCAAGATCAAGGGTATACATACCCCTAAGATGGAAACATTATGATAGAAATACCAGTCAAAATGCTCATACAAATTCTGTTGTTGAGAACATGAGTTAATCTGGCAGATAATTAAAGAATCACCTGGAAACCTGGGTAGGGTCAATCCTCGTTACCAATACAAGCTGATGTGCTGGAAAGTAGCCCTGAGGAAAAGGACTTGGGGCTACTGGTGGATGAGAAGCCGGACATGAGCCACCAATGTGCACGCGCAGCCCTGAAGGCCAACCACATCCTGGGCTGCATCACAAGAAGTGTGGCCAGCAGGGCCAGGGAGGTGATTCTGCCCCTCTGCTCTGCTCTGGTGAGACCCCACCTGGAGTACTGCATTCACCTTTGGAGTCCTCAACACAAAAAGGACATTGAAGTGCTGAAGCGTGTGCAGAGGAGGCCACAAAGATGACCAAAGGGCTGGAGCACCTCTGCTATGAAGAGAGGCTGAGACAGTTGGGGTTGTTCAGCCTGGAGAAGAGAAGGCTCTGGAGGGACTTTATAGTGACCTTTCTGTTCTTGAAAGGTGCCTATAAGAAGTCTGGGGAAGAGCTGTTCACGAGGGCATGTAGCAACAGGACGAGGGGTAATGGTTTTAAACTAGAAAAGGGTAGATTTAGGTTGGATGTTAGGAAAAAGTTCTTCACTATGAGGGTGGTCGATCACTGGCACAGGTTGCCCACAGAGGTGGTGGAGGCCCCATCCCTGGAGATATTCAAGGTCAGGTTTGATGGGGCTGAGCAACCTGATCTGGTAACATTGTCCCTGCTCACTGCAGGGGTTGGACTGGATGAGCTTTAAAGGTCCCTTCCTACCCAATACATTCTATGACTTTATGAATTAATAAGTCATCTTTTCAAAAGAAACTGAGAGGAAAATCCCAATATGATTACAGAGTGATGGCTGAGGGCAGAACATGGAAATACTGAACCTCATGCACCAGAAGACGCTGTTAGATCATAGTAGATATCATCAGGAAGATACAGAATGAAGAAGGCAGAAGTGAAAAACTACAGCAGGGAAGCCTACAGAAGTCATAACATCTGTATTTAGAGGTGCCAAGTAATCAGGAAATACCATACTTCAATCAAAAAAGTTTTCAGGAGGAACAGAGATATTTCTCTCCATCTGCGGTTCTTGCTTCCCTGTTCAGTGAGAGCAACAGATCATCAGTGGTCTACAGGGAGAGTGGTTTCCCCCACGCAACTAAACAAGATATTGAAGACTTCAGAGACAGACTTGGTAGAACTACTAGAAGAGAAAACTATAGCATTGGCAGGCTTCTAAGACACAATTAAAAAGTCTGCTGATTTGATGCTAGTTATACAAGATATCTAGCAGGCTACTAAGTTTTATTGGTGCTTTCCTCAAAAAACACAGCAATTGCATTTTTACATATATTTCAAGTAAAAAGCTTCCAGTTAACTGTGTATTTTCATTGCACTATGTAAAATTAGGTCTACAGTGGTAGAAAGCTTCAGTAAAGACTGCTTAAAACCCCCATAAAGAAATAGTACTTAACGTTTCGTGTCAGAAATAAAAGCAACTGGTTGCACTAAGCTGGATGAGTAGCGAAATGAAGTTTGTGTTCTTCTCTGTTTAGCCCCATGTAATGATACAGAGTAGAGCATAATACACGTGTAAAAATAGCGTCAAACCCCATACTGTTGGCCTTTTTCAAGACAGCCACTTCCTGCTCTGTCATTACTTGGCCTTCCTCTTGCCCAGTGTACATGTATTCAATTCAAACTGAGCACTTCAGCATTTTCTGACCAGAACATGCAATTTCTCACTTTTAAGCCCAAGAACTACTTCTAGTTGCAGCTCTAAGCAGGACCTACAGTTTCATGAGAACTTCAGATGATCTAGAAAGTGAGTGGGTGGGTGGGTTTTTTTGTTTATTTTTTTTCAAAAAACCAAGTCCTGCCACTTTGGCTAATTGCTTCAGGGTTTCTCATACTGAATGCCACAACGGTGCCTATAACTAAATATGAAACCTAAGTGGTTAAGTAATTTTCCTGGTTGCCTTGCATGACCCAAATACAGCCCAAACCAGTAACTCTAGTTGTACTGATTTCTGAACAAGTCCTGCAGCTGTTCTTTTCAGATTCAGACTATTGACCACTGGCATGGCAAGTTCTTAGAAAACAATGATAGCAACTATAGTTACTGAAAAATGCAGGAGGATGCTCATGAAATGATTTTTCCCAGCAGATACCAGTAGAAACTTAATTTTTTTCAGGGTTATTAGTGTAAGATAACTACAAGTCAGGTTTTATTTCAGTACTAACTTCCAGCTACAGATGTGGGAGAAAAGTAAGGAACACCTAGAACTGCTCAGATTGGCTTGAGTGGACACCTTTGAAAAAGGTGAATCCCCCCCCCAGCTTTGGTTGATTGGGTATTGTACCACTTAAACCATAACAAAAAAGTCTGCAGAAAATGCAACAGCATTAAAGTGTACCTTGCCCTGGGCCAGGTATATTTGTGGTTAAATAACACGTATGATGGAAAGAAGTGTGTGTGCATACATACAAAGGTGTGTGTAGGTGTGCATGGATATGGTTATTAAGAGGGAGATGACATAGCATGCGCTAAGGCTGCAGTATGCAGTTACAAAGTACTGTTCCACTCACATGTACCTTTTCTTTGTCATTGGCAATGATGACAGAAAGGATTACAATATTGCTAAAGTGGGTCTAGATGAAATCCCCAATCAAAATGTACAAATACTTCAGCATTGTATTTGTTTAGGTACAGAATATCCACATGCAACAGGCATTAAGCTTGATCAAGGAGAAGGAGGGCAGCAGTGCTCATGTGGCTCCTGCTCTTCAGATT